TTTCTTACAGTTGTGGCAGCTGAGAAGTCCCAGGTCGAGGGGCCACATTTGGTGACACCCTTCTTGCTGGTGGGGATCTGTGCAGAGTCTCCAGGTGGTGCCGGGCATCACATGGCAAGGGGGCAGAGTGGCCCATGAGCTGGCTCAGGCCTCTCTTCTTCTTCTAATAAAGCTACCAGTTTCCCTCCCATGATGACCCATTAATCCATTAACCCGTTAATCCATGAATGCATTAACCCATTCCTGAGGGCAGAACCTTCATGCTCCAATCACATCTTAAAGTTCCCACCTCTCAATACTGCCCCATTGGAGACTAAGTTCTCCATGACTGCCCCATTGGAGACTAAGTTCTCCATGACACATGAAATTCGGGGGACACATTCAAACCACAGCAGGCCTGGAGCCCCATCTTGGTCGCCAGTCCTCCTACCCTGAAGATGGATGCTCACCTGGCTTCATCTTGATGGCCAACCCCTGGGGCGGTCACTGAGGCTTTCCTTGCTCTGGAAGATGCCCTGGTTTCATCCCATCCTCACCGAGGCCCGCCTGGATCTCCGGCCTTTGCTTCCATTCTCTGAGCTCCCTCTTGATCTCATGATAAAGCCCCTTCCTGCTCAAGTCAAACAAAGTCAGTTTCTCTTGCTTATAACCACAGAAACCTGACTGGTTAGCCACTGAATGCCACCCCTGACTCTGCCCTGACTCACTGCATGACGCTGGGTAAGAGGGCCCCTCTCTGGGCCTCAGTTTCTCCATCTGCATGGCTGAACTCACCTCCCACGCTGATGCCCCATGGCCCTGTGGCTGCTTTGGTCATCGTGGCTGACTTGGACTCGTGTGTTTGCTGCTGAGGATCGGTGGGGGCTTTCCCTGCCCTTCCCTATTAAGGCTGTTGCTTTAATAGGCAGTGGTCCACTTCTCTTAAGCCCTTGTGCTGCAAATTTTTGGGAATCTGATAAAGGCTTTAGCTGCTTTCCTTAGACCAAAAAACCTTCCTCTACTCCCCTTGTTCCTTCTCTGCACACTTTATTTTCACTTTTATTATTTTTTGAGGCAGGACCTTGCTCTGTCACCCAGGCTGGAGTGCAGTGGCGTGATCACAGCCCCCTGCAGCCTTGACCTCCCGGGCTCAAGCGATTCTCCCATCTCAGCCTCCCGAGTAGCTGGGACTATAGGTGCCAGCCACCATACCTGGCTAATTTTTGTTGTTGTGTTGTTTTAGTAGAGATGAGGTCTCGCCATGTTGCCCAGGCTGGCATGCTTTAAGGTACAGTTTCCAGAGGAGGTGTAGGAGCAGCCTTCAGAGGCCTGTCCTGACCCTAAGATGACCAGCCTCTGGGTTTCCAGATCACAGCTTTGGCACACAGGTCAGAGGCCAGGTACACTGGGCACTTTGTTAGTGTCGCTTCATGTCAACTCATCCACCTGAAGAGGACAGCATTTGAGGTAGAGATTGCTATGTTTTCGCCAAACCCTGGTTCATTGGCTTCCTCCTGGGCATATAGCTGGACTGCATTTCCCAGCCTCCTTTGCAGTTAGGAGTGGCCACATGACCCAGCTCTGGCCTGTGCAATGGGAGCTGAAATGATGTGGCTCCTCTGCCCCTGGTTTAGCTTGGTCCACAAGCATCCTTCCATGCTATCCTCCACGCTCCCTCTTTCTTCTCCCACATGGTTACGGCAGAGGAGGATAAGGCCTTAGGTGATGACAGGGTCACGGGGTGAAGGGGCCTGGGCCCCTGAGTGACCACATGGAGCAGAGCCCTTGCCCCTCCCTCCACCAGCCCCCAGGAGACTATAATGCAAGCAAGAAATAAACTTTTCTTCGGGAGCTGTTTCTTAACATTTGTTATGACTAAGTCAACGTTTTCATCATCCCCATCCAGGGGAGGTGCTTTTCCACTGAAAAGGAATCCATCTTAGGGCTCCTTTAAAATAGAGAGCTCCTCCAGTGCCTTTGGCCTGGGATCCCTGAAGCTGGAGAGTGTCTGCCTCTGGCCCTGAGCCTAGTGCCTGCCTGAACCTCAGGTCATCTTCTCTGGGGCTCTGATTTACGGTGACTCTGGGCTTCACCCCTTGCCCTCAGGTTCCCACCCCTGCTTTCCTCCTTCCTCGGGTCTGTAGTCTGTGGCCTTCCTCTTCCATCCTGTGGCCTCCCATTTACTTTGACCATTGTCTGGGGTTGAAAGACCAAGGTTCAGGGGTCAGGGGTATCTATTTTTTTCCCTTCTCCCTGACAAATTGCTCCCTGTGGGCAGGGCCCGAGCTGGCTCACTGTGAACTTCCTCCTGCACAGCAGAAGGTTGAGCACATAGGGGTCACTCCTGGAACGCTAAGTTCTCTGCAGTTCCACAGCGTGCAAGGCCCTGAGGGAGTTGCTCCCAGGATCCCATGTTCCTTGGGGCACTTGGATTCCAGAGAGAGAAGCTGGCCTCTGCTTCCGGCTCATTTCCTAAGTGAGCCACTGCAGGTCTCCAGGAAGGTGGAGCCCAGGAGTCACAGGCTGGGCAGCTGGCTCTGGCCTCTTTTCCCAGCTACACACAGCATTCTGGTCCCTGTCCCCAGCCCCTCCACGGCTGGGAGACCAAGAGACAGGTCTAATGACCTGCCCAACCTATCCCCACTGTGGGAAACTCCATCATCCTTCCTCCCAGGGAGGACCACTGTCCAGTTTTTAAATAATTAAATTGGTCTCCAAACCACCAGCTACCAAACCCTTCTGTCCTTGGTAATCTTCCAAAAAATTTACAACAACAACGCTCCTTGCTGTGTGCCAGGCCCCACGCTAAGCCACTTATACCCTAGATGCCAATCCCTGGGGATGGATGTCATCAGTATCCCCATTTTACAGATAAGGAAGGTGAGGTTCAAAGGCCTTCTGCACCCCGTTGCCCCCGCCCTGTACCAGCTTCGAATGCAGTGGCAGGGGGCCGCGATCTTATGCCCAGGCCTGGTTCTCCCACCCCCTAGCAGTGGGAGACAATGCCGGGGAGGGGGCACGAGGCCGCTCCCTCCCCAGGGGGCTCCCACAGCTCCCAAGCTCACTGACACTTGGGTTTCCTTCCTCTCCTCTGGCCCTCCCCTGGCCCCCTCTGCTGTACCCCCAGCTTGTCCCACCCACCCTTGGGCTCGACCCATCTCCCTCCCCAGTTCCCACCGTCAAAAGCACCTGCTGCGGGGCTTGGCTCTGTTTGGTTTCTCCAGAGCCTGCCCAGGGAGCTCTGCCTCTCGGAGGTTGTGTGCTCACTTTGCAAAACAGCAGAAATTTATAGCCCAAGTAATTGATCACGGCGCTTCTGCCTCCCTCCATCTCTCTCAGGCTCCTAATTCCCTTCTCCCGCTCTTCTCTTTTTTCTCAGCGCGCCATCTGTGGTGTCAGAGAAAAGGAAGCCAAAAGTGGGGGGGTGTTTCTAGTCCCAGTTCTGCCAATTACAAGTCACATGAACCTCAGTTTCCCCATCCGCAAAACGGAGAAGCTAATAATACCTGCTCACAAGTGTGCCGGGCCTGTGGATGCCGGGGCCGGGAGCAGCACCCAGACAGAGTGACTTCTGGCCCCGAGCCACCCTGTGGGGTGCGGGGTGGGGTGGGGTCCCACCTTCCCAGTGGGGACAGTGGGGCCAAGAGGGCTCAAGTCATTCACTCAGGGTCACAGATCTGGTAGACAGCAGCTTTGGGGCTTGAACTAGGTGAGTTGTGCCTCGAAGCCGGAACCATTAGGTGACACTCCCCCCACGCCAGCCCCAGGGCCCATCAGAAAACAGGTGAGGCTCACCAGGCCTCCTAGACCCCTATTTCACTCCATTCTGGAGCTAACTATGGGGCAGAAGCAGAGGCCACTGGGGCAAAGCGAACACTTTGCAAACTACAGAGCTGCGAGGATGGAAGGAAACTTCACAATCACTCCCATAGCTCTTCAGCGCCGGCCCCCCTGGATCAGACCCCTCCACTGTCTGCGAGACTCACTGGGACCTAAGAGCTTTCCTGGCCCTCAGTCGCTGCCTCTCCCTCCAGAGAAGCTGTATGACTAGGGGCCTCCCTCCTGCCAGGCCCCTACACCTGCCAGCCTCCAGGAAGGCCCACAGAACCTTCCAGAACAACTCGCAAATGATCCTGAAGAGCACTTCACTCGGCCTTCAGTGGCAGATGAGGCACCAGGCCTGGGAGGGGCGGCCCAGGTTCCCCGCCTGAGCCCTGGGGGGCCCGGGGCTGGCAACTCCCCTCTGAGCCCCACTTCAGGGCGGGGCTGAGGCCGCTCCTGCCCTCTTCTGTTCCGGAGGATGGGGGACGAATGCTTCCAGGGGGGAACGTGCTTGTCTTTTTCCCCTCCGCCCTCAGTCTAGCTTGTCTCTGCCTGTGCACGTCTCTCTGTCTCTCGCTGTCTCTGTGTGTGTCTTTCTTTCTAAGCCCCCAGCCCGCAGGTACGGGCTTGCTTCCTCCCATGCGTGGCCCCCAAGACCGAGCACAGCCCCTCTGGTGTTTGCATCCAAGGTGCCCGCAGCGCCCCGGCCTCCTCCCTTCCCTGGGGGCTGCTCTGGGCAGGGCGGTCCGCAGCTCGGGGGCGGCGGGCACGTTCTGTTCCCCGCTTTCGGGCGGGGACCGCAGGCTCCAGCCCCGGCGGCTGCCTGCTCCCGCCTGGCTGGCGGAGATGAGAGCCGGCTGCAGGGCTGGTGACACTCCCCCCACGCCAGCCCCAGGGCCCATCAGAAAACAGGTGAGGCTCACCAGGACTCCCAGACCCCTATTTCACTCCATTCTGGAGCT